GAGCGAGAGAGAGAGAGAGAGAGAGCGAGAGAGAGAGAGAGAGAGCGAGATGACAAATCACAAGTGAAAGGCGTCAGTGTATTTAGGTTACCAATCATTCATTTGTAGTTATTTGTATCAACTTGTATGAAGACGATTTCAATTAAATTACTTTACCAATGTTATTTTTTGCGTTTTTATTTGTACTGAACCATTTAGCAAACCACATTTTGTTTTAGAAATGTGTATCAGGCAGTTTGATATAAAAAGCTATTGGCAAACTCTTGAAACTTGCTCGAGTTGTGTAGATCATGACTGTGAGCATCAAGTCCACATTAACAGGGTTACTCGATTGCACTTCAATAAAATCGGGGGATTCATAAGAGACAGATAGAACAATACAAAATTGATGCAGCAGAGGCCAAACTCCTAAAAAAACTAAATTCAGCCTTTCCCATAATGCAACTCAATAGCATTATCTCGTCGGACCCTCCCTGTTGGGTAAATTACCTTTCAGACCCCACACTCTTTTTTTCCCCTTCCAAGCTCAAGCTGTGAAAACCCTGGTGACATCATCAGGGTTATTTTCTCAAACATGTTAACACTCATCCAGAGCCACAGTGGACATGTTACATATTTTCCCGCAAGCTGAGTAGTACTCCTAATGACAAATAAACTGACCTTTATGTGTAAAATCAGTAGAGCGCCCCTTTAATTGTGGTCCAAGTTGCATTATCATTATGAATGTCAACATAGAATGCATTGGTAATGATCACTTGTGCAGCCTTGACAGCTTCTTTGTGACAGAATACACATCAGTAGCGTGTTTCAAGAGTCTGCTAAGTATCGAGCAGAATGCTTAGGAGTGTAGGGGAAAGTCATGAAGATATGTAAAACTGCACAACATGCATTCAAAAATGTTCAGGAAAAATGCTACATGTTTCATAGCTGAGCGGGTAAAACATAACAATCTTAAACTAAATGATCATCTCTGAAAGAGAGAAGAGTATCCAGTACATTTCAGCTCACTTTTAACACCATGGGCGCATTGCTTCAGTAGCCAAGCTGGTTTCCTGTAAAGCCAATAAGTCATATATGGAGTGAAGTGAACTGACAGAGGGGGGAAACAGATGCATTTGGTCCAATTTTCTTTCTCCACAAGATCTGTTGAATTTTTGTCTCACATTAAAGGAAACCGGCAACCATACTGAATACAAAACAGCACATCTGCCCATCTGTTCTTATCAGACTGATCTTTCTTTACAGGGAATGTAATTCATTTGGTCACCCTCTGCTTTAGCGCTGTATGGAGTCTTTTTTTCATGCCAATAAAGCCCAGAATGAGGTGAACTGAAAGCGAGTAAAAGATGGTGAGATAAGGAATGGATTCAGGACCATGGACAGCTCACTGTGTGTCCTAACTAGGCCAAACACAATGCTCTTGTTCTTGCTGCCACCTCTTTTATCATGTCAATCTAAATTCGGTTTGGAACAGGCTAAAGATGAACTGAACACTATTACATCCACAAACTCCTGGGACAGAACACACAGGAAACACTGTCTACTGACTGAAAAAGACAGGAAGGCATATGAAGTGTGGTGAGACATCAAACAAGGCTCAGTCTAGCTAATGCAGCAGGAGGACTACAGGTTTATTGCTTTATTATAGGTCTTCTTCCACCTGTCACAGTTGATCGCTCTCATCCCTGTGAGGTGAAGGCCAGGGAGAAAATACAAGTATTTCTTAAAAGGTCGACATTTACCTTGATGTTCTACAAAGCTGGGCGCACACAGAAGCTCTTTCTCTGCATGCACACTCCCTGGAACCCCGTTTATAATTCTCATTAGTAATTGCCAAAAACATTTTTGTGACAGTTTTTGTATCTTTTGGCCAGTTCTAAGTCAGATGTAATAACCCTAACTTAGCTCGGCAGTGAAATAATCATTATAGTGGGTCGAAAGGCTGCTAGTGCAAGTAATGCAATGCGGATATATTCCAGCGCTCCCTCTCTCTCTCTTTCTCTCTCAATCAATTTCTGCAAACTACAGTAATCCCTTTTCTCCAAAGCAGGGCGAGTGCTTGTTTATTGATCCCTCTTCCATCAGATTTCCCTTCAAGTACTTTGAGGCTTTTTAAACTGGTCTGGTGACGAAGTGACTCCGCTCAGCTACTGTTCACTGTTCTGCACACTGAGAGTAAAGTGCAAGAAATGACCAGCTTTGTGACACAGCATTCACATTCGCTTTTTTTTTGGCTTCTCTGCTGTCTTACACAAATGCAGAGGAGCAGCTGAAAGGCACTAAAGAAGATAGTCTCATGGTAAAAAAAAAAAAAAGCCCTCAAGATCCAGACTTGAACCCACAAAGTATGGCGGGAACCTCGGCATGCATTCTGATCATGTCTGCCGCGACATGAACCCTGCAGATAAGCCCAGCTCATGTGCATTTGAATCAAAGCAGCTCTCTCCTGCTCTCCCCCTCTCTACGCATGTCTTTCAGCAGCATCTGTGCGGTGTGAGGAGGGAATATGAGGGGAGGATTACCTGCTTAATTAGTAGGGGAGCTGAGTTTTGTGAGGGTATTATGTGCACAACACACACGAGAGACAGGCAGTGTAATCACATGTAATCAAACACCTTAATAGGCATCTATTTGAGCTTTCACACAGCATTTGCTTTACAAGATAGTGGCGTCTATTACACCACATAACCCAATATATTAAAAAAAACACTCATTTACATTTCCGCTCATTTAGCTTAATTGCCACAGCAGCCCGGAATGTATTTATATTCCACGTTGGTGCGAGAAGTAAATATGCGTTTGCGATTCATGAATGTATTGAAATCAAGGGCGAAGAATGACTGTGGCAGAGCAGTAAGTCATGTGATGGTTCAGCTGATAAACAGATGGTCTCGCTCTCTCTCTCTCTCACACACACACACACACACACACACACACACACACACACACACAAAGCCGTTTAATGCCCTTGCCTCCTCTTTGGAGAAGAACATAAAGTTTCACACAATCAGGAAACGATCAGGAGATTCCGGTTAAACCTGCATGTCAGAATTAGTAGTGACATTTCGCAGAAAGGAAAGGACCTTTCACTCTGTTCCATGAACACTGGTATGGCCTGGACTAATTAAGGAAATAGTCCTGTTTATGTGTGATGTCTGCACCTGCTCATTAACATCCCTGACAACATTGATTAATTGCATGCTGTGTAAAATAAGGCTTGGCAGCTCATTAACCAAAGAAACAAAAGTTGAAGGGCCATGTTACAGCTCCAAACTGAATTTCGTATTAGTTATTTTGTCTATTTTTGTGTGGTGTGTATCAGCAATGTCTAAAATCATATAATGTTTATTTTCTTGAATAGAGCAAATCACTGGCATCAGCTATCAACTATGGCAAATGGCTCCTAAAATAATAAACTGACAAAACTAGATATGAATAAATAAATCCCTTCAACACAACACATGTAGCACTTTCTTCAAATTTGTCGTTTTGCCTTTCTGTTAGCTGAAGACAGACAACACAAATTCAACATACCTTTAGACCTTTGAGCTACACCTGATTTGAATTCACTGCTGCAGCCAGTTAATAATACATTGTTTTCTCTGGAATACAATCACTTTGATGAAACAAAAGCTTGCATATCAAGCAGCTCTCAATGGGAATGCTGGGAACATAAACAACGGCACAAGCCTCCATTTCTAATTTTGCCCTACCTGCCAGCACTCTGATAATGTTATGACCAACCGCTTTCCATCCCCGCCAAACACCTGTCCTCCTGTCAGAACGCTCATTTAATGCAGACACTGCTGAATGCCTAATATAAGTCAACAGAAAGAGAGCAGGGCCAATTTACAATTCAAACACACACACACACACACACACACACACACACACACACACACACACAATGATGCACCTGTCCGCCTCTGCTAAATGTTACCATCTGAATCGTCTGTCAGCTGGTGTCAGTTGCAAGGCTTTTCTGCTCAGTGGGTAATTGGATTTAAAATGTAGGAGCAACGTGGAGAGGACATGGCCAGGTAATCGACACGCTCAGGCCAACTTAGCTGGTGAGAATGAAACCACCTTTGATTTGTTTGTAATATGAAGGAAGACGACAATGGTAATTCAATA